ATTAATTATTAGTAATAATAATATATATATATATATATATATATATATATATATATATAATGTATTATAACTGAAATGTGATAGCATTGTACAAAATACTGGTCCACTAGAACACAGCTAAGACAGGTCACTTTGTAAATACTAGTTTTATATTCTTGGATACGATGACATGAGTGCACATGTGCCTCGTCATTCAACTTCTGTAATGTTAGCCAGACACTGCTGAAAGGTCAATAAAATAAAAATAATAAATTTGTATATATTTAAAATGTATGAGATTTATGCTGTTTAGACTAAATATTTGAGGTTTTGTTATAATTTGTAGTCATTCTAGAACAAAAAAAGTGTATCTTATGGTGGTTATGAGGTTGGTTGAATCGACCAAAACCATACAGAGACACAGTAGTGAAAAATAACAGATAAAATATAGTTTTTTCTAACAAACATTTTTGATAATTATCTGGAGGATATTAGGAGGTTAGAGTTTGCTTAATGAAATTGGACAATTTTCTGGTGCATAAAAGTATTTTTAATCTTAAAATCAAAATTACTTCATGTTGAGTAGTCAGCATTCCAAAATAATAAATGCATGAGCAAATAATTGTTTAAAAAATGTTAAAACTTAATTAGAAAATATGATACTTTGTGTATGGGTGCCTTGTGATAATCTGCAAAATTTCATGAAGATATGTGTACATTTTAAAGAATTACAGTATAACTGCTTTATGGTTACTTTTGGGAATATGGGCTGGGTGGAATCCACCCGTCCATATTAGAAGGGTTAAATTGACTTTTGGTACATCTGTGTAGATGTCTTGAGTTCTGTTATGTTTTTTTCCTAGTTGATAGTGCTGTCTTTTTGAACATGAGTTAAGTTTCTATGATTTCATTCACAAAGCTTTGATTTTTTTTATGTTAGAAGCTTGTTCTTAAAAAAAATCTCCATTTCTTTTTTCCAAGGTCAAGGTGGAATGACGAGGGAAGCCAGTCTTTCTCTGAAACATGGGGTTGAGGCCAAGAGCTACGAAGGTGTAGGTAGATGAGTGAACTAAGAGAATAAAACATACTCTATTGTGTTTGTAATTTGTGTATGATCTGATATAAAATGAAAAACTACTATTGATGATATGGTATCTCAATTAAAAATTATTTTGAATATGTGTTTTAAGAGTATTGTGTAAAACTATTGTACATCATTGAAAGACTTTCTTATGAAAATGTAATAACATTGTTATGATTTTAATATATTCATACAGAATGTTATCAGACATAAAGTTCAGTTTAAAGAAGTGACTTTTTAGTGGAGTTGTTTTTATATTTCTAGCTTGAAGAAGTAGGCAAGCTGAAACCTTTGGAAATTGAGCTGCAAAAGCTTGAAGATATGTCAGAAGCTATTGTAAAAGACTTTGCATACATGAGACAGCGAGAGGAAGAAATGAGAGACACAAATGGTAAATTTGTATTTGAGATACTTTACCTGGGCATAATTACTGTAGAAATTGTATCATGATTCAACCAAGTGTGTCCTGTCTGAACATTTTCAGTGTCAAGTGTACATCTGATTATAAACTTTAAAAATTTAAGTAAAATATAATTCTATTTAAACAATATTTTATTCAAAATATATTATAATTGATATTTCACACACCCCAAAAAATGCCAACGTTTGTTGCTGCACAACTCCAATGCATTTATTGATTTTATTATAATTTTTCTGGCCATCTCAAAGCTAAAATTTATACTTGCAAATAAACTATTATTCATTGAAATATAACAAGTATATCCTTTTCAACATAATTTACTTCCTCTGGTGCTGGTTTTACTATTAACAGTACTTAATTGCTTTGTGCTAGTGGGAGGACTTAACCACTCCTAATATAGCTCAGCTTTAAACACAGCTAGTGTGAAAGTTTATATGATTGGATAGCACAAATTTTGATGTATCTACCTCACAATAAAGTTAACGAGGTGGATTTTAACAATAGTTTGTGGGGTTAAGTTTTTGAAAATAAGGAGACTTCACATTTCTTTTATCAAACACACTCCCAACAGTTTAATTGAGTAAATGTTATTTTGCAGTTAATTATATATATATATATATATATATATAT